ACTTCTATTTACTATAAAAAGCTGAGGAAGTTCTGTACATACACATGGAAAAATGGCCTTAAGTAGATCAGCACTCATTAAGGTGGGATAAAACTGAAGAGAGGAATTCCTAAAAGTTTTCTCTCAAAAAGACACAATCAATCCCAGAGGTGTCTTATATGGCTGAGATAATTCATGTCTTAGTACCTTTGTGCAACATGGATATTCCTCTCCATTTGTAGTTAAATTCTATGCACAGCACAGGGCACAGCATCATTTCCAGGAACACCCTTTGAATAGCAACATGTTAGAATGGTCCTTTGAGTACCAGCCAGCTGCAAGAGGAGCTTTGGCAGAACCACCTCTTCATTTCTTAATCAGAAGAGGAAAGCAGCCCCCATCCCTCCGTCCATGGGCATATGTGTCCTGCTGTGATCAGACATAATCAAAGCATTTCCTAGAATGTCTTTGTGTCTAGAATCGATCCTGCTCCTCAGAAACCAAGTGGATTCCTCTCCTCCAATTTTCCTTTGCTGTATAACATCTATACATAATCCACTATGTTCCATATTTTCTAAGCAGCACCCCATTGTTCATTCAAAGGTCAGGCCAACATATACTGAATGCAATTCAGAACAGCAAGCATGAAAACATTTGTCATTAGTCATTATAAACACTAAATATAAACATAAATAGGTGACAGTGAATGCTCACTAGCAATGAGTTGCAGCCAGTACAACAATTTGAAAATTTATATACACAGTCAGTGCTCCAGCCAGCAAATAATGTATGCAATTACTGCTCCTGTTAATGTGCCTGTGTGCCCAATTTTGAGAGCAGCATGCACAGTGCTTTCCCCTTAAGGTGGCTTGAGCAACTGGTCTGTATTTTAATGGAGAGAACCATATGTAATGAAAGCAGAACTTCTGGGAGACAAGCCACAATTTCAACTTGTTCTTGTTGCCAGAGTAATAATTACGGTGAAATGAAAAAAAAAAAAACCAAAAAAACAAGTACACACCTACTATAAACAGATGGCTAATAAAAATTTGGGGAGTTCTTTCAGAGTAGAAACAGAATACTCTGAAAAGACACCTACATAACAAATGCTTGGACATGTTGTCTCCTTTTATAGGCTACTTAAAGATGTGCCCTCTAGATCAGGAGCTGCACTTTACATGCAGAAGTTTCAGAATATGTTTATACTAAATATTAAGCTTTATAATATAATGTTTCAAATATTCTCATGAAATATGGGTAGTAGGTATTAACTAGTAATGTGACATACTCCAATATGGTCATGAAATTTTGTTACTGATCACAGATTTCTGGTCTACCATCTTTAAATAAAGAATAATCTTGATGAAATTAGGAGTTTACTATATATTGTAAGCATGGTCCACTGAGACTGACTCATGCCTGCAAACATCTGCTCTGTTTTGTACTTCCATTTGAAGACAAGAACAAATATTTCCATTTGCTCAAAAAATGCTGACAGGTGAATCAATGTTTCAGCATTCAAGTAGGTCAGCCCATGTTACATTATTCAGTCTAGCAATGTGACACTTCTTAACAAGAAAATATGGTCTAATACAAATTTGAAGTGATACAAGAAAATATATGTTTTAATTACTTTAATTTGAAATTGTCCCTCCTCCATCTGTAAGACGAATATGAAATATTACAAATTAATTACTTTTTCCTGCCTATCTTCTTCATCCCAGTTGACAGCAGAGCGAAAACAAGAAATAGGTATATCTGTTCCCAGGCAGCACAAGTGACAGCAGATTTAAAGAGACATCATCAGCTTCAAACATTGCCAAGCAGAAGCAAAAACAATAAAAGGTATTTCAGGTACCACAAACTGCCTGACGTCTTCCCTACCAATTTAGGGAGGCAAACCCAAGCCATTTTCTGTTTCTTAGAATGTCTTTTTTACCCTGCTTGTGTTTTAAAAGTTGTGCCCTTAAGGAAAATGCAGTCTCAATGTTCCACATTATCAGTACACTGAAACACTTGTCAGTGGGGAAAGTAAACAAAGCAAAGCTGGCACCTCTCACTTGCCTCATATCGAGTAACTCTATGTAGCACTTTTAGTAACAGGAAGCTGAATATTCTCAGGAAGTGTTTATCAAACAAATAGTTGCCCCTGAATGCAACACAGAGAAATCCAAAGCATATTCCTAAAAAAATCAATAATTTGATTTACACCACAAAATGCCCTTATATCCTGTTTATAGAATATGTTATCCTGTCACAGATTTCTGACACCAAATATCCACCATAGAGTTTCCTACATGAAAAGAAAATATTGTTTTTGCAATTTTTAAGGTTGCAAACACAGACCCTGAGTAGTGCCTTAGACCATGTGCTAAGGAGTACTTTTTCAGAAAGAGAAGACCCAAATCATTTTCCAAGAAGAAAAATGAGTGCATTCAGTATATAATTAAAATACAATACTGTAATTTAAAAGCAAACAAAAAAACAATAAAAAACAAAATAAAGCCACACCAAGAACATCTTAGTGTTTTATGAATAATCCAGTTAATTATTAATATACCTGAAAATACTTGCAGGTGGAACAGCCCATAATCATAGTTGCAGTGGCTATGATTGAAGAAAAACTTACCCACCTCTTAAAGCAATATTTGTATTAGAAATTGGTATGGATTTATCCAAGAATGGAAAAGAAAATCTAAGTCTTTTATTGTATTATATATTACCTCCCCATTAGCAGCATATTCCTGGGTGGAGGTTTTATTTTCCTCTGACCCCTAAGAGATGTGATACAATAGATTCAGCTCATCCCTGCCACACTTCATAAAACCTCTAAAATGAAAAAGGATCAGAATGGACTCGAGAGAAGAAGGAGGGCTGAGACACTGCAGGTAAAACAATGGTCACATAAGCTCACAGTTAACATAAACTGATTTCTTTCTGATTTCAACCAACCCCTCACCCCCAAACTGATTACAATAATAAGGTCATTCCAATCAACACTTCTGTCAAATACTTACCTGTATGAATCACCAAGACCTTTTACCTCTGATCACATTTCAGATGATCATTTATGATCATTCTTTTAAAGTTTCTGATCAACTACATCTTAACAGATTTAGCATATGATCAGGTTTCCCTCACTGTCTTTATTAAGGTGTTGCTCTTACTAATTTTTTTAAGCAGACATTTGTTTCTCTCTTTCCTAGGTCAGTAATCTCAGTAATTTAGAGACTCAAAATGCTGTATATGTCCATCACATTGTCACACAGCACCAAACTGAGAGCATTTAAATACAACCCCAATAGCTCTCACTTTCATCCAGGTGATTCTAGTTATGTTACTCAGACAAATTTATCCAGCACCACCATCCAAAAGCATAGATGAAAGGTTCAGAAGCAATTTTTCCAGGAAGGAATTGACAGTGCCTGCACTGGAAAAGAAAAATAGCATTTGTCTGAGATTTTTCACTTAGGTTTTGTTCATCTTTTCCCCCACACAGTTTCCTTCACTAATGGCAGCAAAATGGATGGCAAAGAAAGAAAGAAAGAAAACATATGATGACACATCAGTTACTAGTTTTAATTAATTTTTTTTTTTATGTCTTTAGAACATGAAAAAACTCATTGTTCTTCCTATCAAATTGTGAGTCTCCATAGAAATCACTAAACAGTGAAACCATAGGGTGCTGTGCCTATTCACACTAATTAATTTTCACCTAAAAATATGCAGCACATTAAACATTTCAACTGCTACCCACTCCAGAAAGAATAAACAGCAGAATATATTGGACACACCATGCAACATCTGTGCAGAGACTTAAAATTTTGTAGAGGTATCAACAGCAACTCCATACTCACATTCCTCCATTTTCCATATATATTGTATAAAAACTACTTAACTGCTTTTGAGATCAATACTTCCCAAAATATCAAAACAGCACTGCAAATTAAGCAAATTAAGTTGAGGAAGCTGAAACAGATCTAAGTTCAGAGATAGCAAAGTTGTAAAGTGATCATTAAAACACTGGTGACAGAGAAAGCCAGACAGACACATTTGTTTTCCTGCACAGAGCCTTTTTTTTTTTTTTCCTATTTTAAAGCGCAAATTATTTGCATTCATTCTCACTTTTGGGGGGAAATACCCAATCAAGTTAAAAGTGCTGTTTTAAATACAGACATTAAAAGATACTTCTGGAGATGGAAGTACAGATTAAGTTCTATATTTTTAAAACAGTTTTGATAGCTAAATTTATGTCCAACCCATTAATTTAAATGTCTGTTATAATTACAGCTTGATGATGTCTCCTGCAGAATTTATGAGTCTAGAATCACATTAATGTTCACAACTTTGATTTTAGTCATGAATGGATCCCAAATCAAAGCTTACAGCCACTTTTTTTTTTTAAGTATAGACAAGCATTTCTCTCATACTGATCAGTATTTTTTCCATTTCAATGGAATTGTCAGTTCTCACTTGCTTAGGTGATAGTAATATGTGGTTTTTCACAGGCTCAACATCCTTCAGAGACACTTCACATGGTATGTCTTATCCAATTGTCACTTTAACCAGCTGGACAATTTTTCAAACAACTTCAAGTTCAGCAAGTCCCTGAAGTGACCTGCACACATCTGAGCCTGCCCCGCTGAAGAGAACGGGAAGGTTGGGACTGACTTCAGTGGACCTCTGAATTCACATGCAGTTCTAGAGGTCAGGAAAGCTAAAGCTGAGATTTGGATCAATAAATTCAAACAAACTTGTGAAATCATCAGGTCCAGTTGAGCACCTGCCTCTAATGATCAGAGGAGTTACCCCTGTCTAACTACACATCAAGTATAAATACAAGCTTTGTTTGCATCTGGGCACTTCAGCTACAGCAGCTAAACTGTGAGAAGAGTAAAATACATTCAAAATGTCATCAGTTAATGCACCAACATGGAAACAAATTATGACATAGACACTACACTGTGCCTTCCAAAGCTAGAATGTCCTTCTTTGTGGCTAGTTGTTTGGACATTCTCAACTTTGAAAGCCAAATGTGAGATATCACAGATCAGCTCACTGAAACCAGAAGCATTGAGGAGGTTACAAGCTGGGAATCCCAAAATAGGAAGCACTCAAAACACCTTTTTGAGATGGACATAACTGTGCTTTAGGTGAAGAATAGAAAGAGAAATTACTATTGCAGAAAGTTACATTAACTCCTTCATAAATGAGGTTCATTCAAGGGGGCCCAAAAAAACTTTACATTCCCTAAGGAAACTAATTTAGCACACTTTTCTTGTTCTGTCCAGAAGGACCTACTTGTTTTGAGTGCCCATCTGCAGACACAATGCCATGGGTTATTATTTCTTTTGTAAAACACCCTTAACTGTGTTTTCCTGAAACCCGTGTCTCTATATTTCTCAGGGTGACACTGTACATTGTGAGAGAAATCATGTCTGATTACATCAGTCAGACTGCATTAAGCTGTGTCAGTAATGACTGCCAAAGTGACTGATATAACTGAATGTGACACACCATCACTCTGTTTCCTCATCTGTGAAATATGAGATGGATTTAGGGGCAAGAGGAAAAAGAAAAATCACCAAAATTTCATAGCAACAGGAAATGAATTTAAAGAAACAGGTTCCTGTGCTTCCTTTGAAAAACAAAATTGATTAAAAATATCTTATTATTTTAGGGACTAAAATAGTGAGGCTTGAGATATCTCTGCAGTCAGCTGTGCATGAGAACATGAAAATTGCAGGATGAAACTTAAAGAGTTTTGCCTGTAAGGAAGTACTGCTTATTTGAAAACCTTCATGGCCACCCCATTGACACTTCTAGAAGTCTCTTATTAATTTCATATACATGAACACAGCACATAAAACAAAGCAGTTTAACTCTTCAAAACTTCTGGAAAACTAAAAATTTGGTGGACTTTAAAGGCTTCTGTTTACTGCTTTATGATGAAGTATTTTAATGCTATTAACATGCCAGTCACTAACAAATTTCTAAGAACTCTTTTTGTGGCCATCTGATCCTTTTGGCACTGGCTCAGGACCATGACAGGCGATTGTCAGGGGATTAGGATCCAAGCATTCCCAGGCTGCAGAGCAGGGGCCAGGAAAGCCTCTGGTTACCAGACCTTTTAAAAGCCTCAGTCTTTCAGTACTAATGTAAGCTCACAAAAAAATTTTAAGCTATCTTCAGCAATGCCAATGTTACAGAAGCCAGCACATTATTTGCCATGGTTACATCCTCCCTAACCCTCAAAAACTAAGCAGTCATAAGAATCCAAAACAAATCAAAGCCTGGAAAGCAGCTAGAACAGTAAGACTTGCATATGGTGCACAGCAGAAAAAAATCAGCCTTTCAAAGCAGATCACTTTCAAAAATCCCATGTGAAACTGAGGCACAAAAATCACGAGTATTAACGAGCACTTCAGGGACATTTACCCTTTTAACTTCCTACTATATTTTTCTTTTCTCTGCCCAGTTAGGGAATTCTCACAGCCAAATACTCAGGACGGCTGGATGAGCTGACACACTGCTCTTTTCAACAGAGAACACTCAATGCGAATTGGCAGAGACACATCTCAAGCAACAAGATGAATCAGTGGCTCTTCATCTTCTGTCTTTGCCTCTCTGCTGAAATAACATGATGTGTATTCAACTCCTTTGTACCACCAACATCAGGAAATGGAGTCACCAAACATTTTGTATGGGCTGACACCTACTTATCATAAGAACTAAATCATGTCATACTGCTGTTGAAAAATAAATCACACATGATCAACATAATCAGGCATCAGCCAGCATACTTACGCATGTAATAACATGCAATACTTATTGTTTATTATTACATATTGATTTTCTATTTATTTTTTTAAAAGAAATAAGACACAGGACTTCTGAGTGTGATGCTACCCAGTGCATGGGAAACAGAGCACAGCATAGCAAGGTAAATTAACCTCTATTAATTACAAAATCTATTACAAGCAGCAGGAATTGCTTCCCATGCAATTCTGGAAAAATACAGTCTTTTTTTTATTTTTTTCCCTTTTTTTCCAGTTGCCTCAACAGTTCTGAACATCGTGACCTAACAATATAGCAGCAGCCTAGGAGTGGGGTAGAGAAAATATGCCTTGCAGGGGCTGAAGGAAGACAAAGTCACATGTGCAGTAAACACAGTGACACAGAGAAATGCAGGACATGTTCAAGGCACACACAGACAGAGTGATTCGCAGTGCCCAGCCCAACAGCACTCTCTGCTCAGCCCTGGATTCTCAGCTGCAAGCCCATGTAAACCCTGTAAACAAATAAACTCATGGCCTGTGATTTGCTGGGAAGGGGAGCAGACTATTTGAGCTAAAGAGATCTTTGCTGTGTTTACAGCAGAACAGCCAACAAGTCTTTCTGCCTTGTGTACAAATGACTGTGTGCAGGTCCTTAAGCAGCTTTGTGGTTCAGTGGGAATTTGACCATATATAAGCAGAGGATAAAAATAATATTTTGAGTTCATTTGCTGCAGAAATAAAATAGACTGAAATATGTTTTCATATGAGCACAAAAATAAATATCTAGGAAAAAAATAGATTCCTTTATATTAAAGCATCCTACTTTTAAAAAAGTTTTCATATTTACACACAGATAAATACCTCTTCCAGACTGCACACAGGGCATTTAACTACCTTGATCACTCAGAGATTTCACCTCAAAGACTATAAGCAGGACAAGCAGGAGAAAAATAATTGTCCAGGTAATGTTTAGAGTCACACAGGTGCATTTGAAGGTCCATCCCAGTTCTTAAATTCCTTTTCTAAATGCATAAAAGTGTTCTGATAAAAATCAGTCTCAATGTGAAATAGGAAGAGAATGCATTTTTGCTTGATTTGAACTTTATCTCCAAACATCATCTCTCTCCCCCAACATATTTTGCTTACAAAGAAAAGAGACTATATTTTCCATGATGCTGCCTCACTAAATTGTATGAGTCAAATTAATTTGTGTGTCCATTTTCCACAAGAAGTTTTCTGAAGCCTAGAGCTCTGTACAAGGGAGTATGTATAAATTAATTGTCTTCAGAGAGAAACCATGCAAATATTGAAACTCAGAGCTCTTTATGCAAAATTCAGCATTAAAGAGCTGAAGAGAATGCAGAGCATAAGCCTACTAGTGGAAATATGATTTCCCACAAATGTCTTTATATCTCATGCAGAAAAGTTGCATTTACATCTCCTCCAACTTACAGTCCATTGAACAGAAATGGAGTTACAAGATATTGCTCACTGGACTTGTGGCAGGGAAGAAATTTTTGATATTTCTAAACTTACCTCACCAAACTTAAATTGCAATTTCTAATTCTAATTCTGCTTTTTAAATTCACAGCCAGTCTTGGAGAGACAGAGATTTTAGGTCTGTTTGAATATCATGTTCCATTGACACTCAAACACCACCTCTAGGCCATAGGAATCCTTGCTGCTTTCAAGAGGATTTTCCTGTCCAGAGCAGTCACAAAGCTGCACAATATATTGCCATATACTAGTGCACACATTAGAAAGCAATAAAGTCACAAATTCAAGAATTTATCAACTTCTTATCCAGTGTAATTCAGGAATGAGCCTATGTTAGCCATGTTATACTTCAAAATACCTCTCCAGAATGTTAAAAGAAAAAAACAAAGCTACAATGAAATCAAAGGCGAAAAAAATAATCTCCTTCAGATAAATGCAATAGAATCTTGTTTTTTTCCATGATCCAGAGAAAACTTAGAGTTGACTTTAGTATCCTTTGCTAACCATAAACCTAATCCAAAAGCATCTCACCTGGTTTTATGCAGAAGCTGCTGTATCAGAAAGCACACATACATCCTGACAAACATAAACCTACAGCCGTGCTTGGAGCACTGATTAGTCATCTCCTTTCTGGTGATGTGTTAGCTGAGCCAGCCATGCTTGGTCCCAGGTACTCCCAGTTTCCAAACACTGAATTAGATTTCAAACACTGCCAGAAGCAGTCAAGGAAAAAATACTGATCAGATGTATCTATGAGATCTATGATTTGTTACAGACCCAGAGTGTTCTTGACCACATGCAGAACACAAAAGAAGCCATCAATTCTGTCCAGACCACATGATGATCTAAAAAGAGTTTTAAACATATTGAACAGTAGACCAGAACTAACTCTCTAGAACTGCACATGCTTAAAAGCTAACTCATTCCTCCTATGAATGTACTGTAAGTGAAATTGTGAAAAGTTAATAACACCTTGTTGTCCAACTGTGAGAAATGAACACTGACACTGCTGAGATGTCTGCCTGGAAGCTCTCTTTTAACCCACATGACAGCAATAGAAAAAATACATTCAAGAGCTTGGCATCTGAGTCTTGCAGCTGTCAGAGCACAGAGTGGCCACAGGTGCTACTCCCAGGCATGAAATTCGCCAGGGAGGGAGAAGGCAAATGAGAGTACAACTGCTACCAGCAAAACAGGGACTAAAGGGCAGACATAAAATCCCCTTCAACTGCCAACACAGTGGTACAGATGCCTTCTGACTATTTACATGGTAACATAGACACAGCAATCAAATTGGTAATCTTAATGTGTGGAATATTTGCCTTTGATGTAGGCAAGCGAGCATTTGCCAGATAGTCTCAAATAATAAGAGGTATGGGGGTGTAAAAATTATAAACAAACAAATAAATAAAGTCAGAGCATTAAATGACTGAGGGGAGAAAACACAGCAGTTTGCCTCTTTCTTCAATGATTGCTCAGTGATGTGGAGATGTACCCATTTCTATTCATTTTTCCTCTTGCTCTGTTTAGGCCTTCTCTTTTCATCCCTGTGGTCAGCTGTCATTTCTCATTATATGAGTCACCCATGCAAGATGCTACTTCTGAGTGTCACCCTTACAACTGTGCTCATGTCCTCCACAGTGCTACATAAATAGCTCCATGAAAACCAGTACTGTGACTCTATGAAATGTCCAAAGATCTCGAGTCAACTTTCTGTAGTTACAAAATTAGGGTAAGGGATCATTTGCAGCATTCATAACAGAAGAAATGTCACTCCCAGTAAATCTGAGTAAAGTCATTCCCTCCCTTTTATTTTCCTCGTTCCAAAATACACCTGTGCATAAGATAGAAAGTTTCAGCAGCAGAACATTGCAAAAGTCAAATCAGACAGACTTGCTATTGCAGCTAAAGGAAGATGAAGGTCTCAGCTATTCTCTTGTAAGCTGCTTACTCACTCCAGGAATGGAATCCACCATTATCTCATCTCGACACATATTTTAATTCCTGCCTTTTAAAAATAGAACTTAACATGACTGAGAGCAATATAAGGCAATATTCCTCATGAAAACACCCTAATAAAAAGCATTACTTCTAGATCATGGAATTTAAATTTTAAAAAGTCCTTTGATTTTCCTATAAAATAGTAAATATGGATTATTATAAGGAATATCAAATATAAATGTTTTGACAGCCATTTCCCTAACTTTCCATTTGTTCCCTTCATTTCTTGATACTTCTCTAATAATCAAGTATATATACAATACTAACAGACTTGATTCCTTAATCCACACAAACTCTGAAGAATTAGCTAAATCCCTTCCTGTTATTTCCTATCCAACTAAAAATAAAAACACACATTTTCCCCAGACAAAACAGCTGGATGTAAATTCTTTCATGTACTCTTTCAAAAGAGAAAGAAATCAGTTCCTCTGTAAGCACAATGATTAGATCAGAGAGTCCATTAGATATATGCATCAGGACACTGTGTCTGCATAGTTTTTAACTATTGCATGGTGGCAGATACATATGAGGCTTTGCAATTGTAAAAGTAAAACATGGATTAATCTCATGCAGAATTTTCTACAGCTACATAAAAGAGACTAATTCCTTTAATAGCCTCTGCATTACAACTGGTTTCCATGTCTATTTATTCCAAAGCTTTTCCATTTATCAATCACATTTTGCCACAGGGTCTGTGGCCATGAGTACCTGGCTGATTTACTCAAACTGAAAAGCTGATGCTGATGTTTTGCACACAGTTAATGCCTAACAACGCATTTGATGAGATTTCCCAGGGTGGTTTACTTGATGGGGTGGTTGGAGTGCACAGGGTCCACATTGTCAGAGCTGCTGAGAACACAGCAGTTCAAATACCAGCCCCTGCCTGCGGATCTCACTAGGCATTAAAAAACTCTGTAGCAATTAGTGATTAAGAAAGTTTTCAAGGCACTGCTGGCACTTATGATTCCATAGCTCTACCTCAGTGCATCAGAAACTACAGATGCCTATAGCATGTAAGAGGTTCACAAACACATTTTAAATACAATGGCATTTATGCCTTCAACTCATTTAGGCATTTTGTTATCTAAGCTTTCACCAATTTGCAGCTAAACATGCCTAAATACATTAATAATGAATAGATTTTATCAATTAGCATCATACAACCCAGTTTCACTTTAGGGACAAACTAATTTCATGGTACAACACTACATTTTCATTTGTATACTGGTGTAAGTAAAATTCATCAACTAAAAGATTTCTAAACCATGTAAATCCAGGTAACAATGCACATAGTCTGGAGAGAAAAAAATATCATCACTAGACAAAAGCAGATGTTAGCTACCATAGAGTGTCTGGGAGATCATTCAGCTGCTCCCTCTCTTCAGGGACCTGTAGGGGCGCAGGGAGACTTCAGCATGGCACACTGTAGTCAGATGGCAAAAGTTATTCCATGTTATTGTCAGAAACTGAGACCACTGAAATTCTCAAAATAAAGGCTAAAGGCTACTGTAAGGTTTTCTGAATTACAGATTAAATATCAGTTTCCCTTCTGCAAATCAAGAACATTTCCCTGGGTGAAATCAAATTGGTTCAGGGCTGGCCTCATTTGCTAACTCTCAATGCCTGTAGGTTTGATTACAAAACTTTCAATTAACTAATGATACATTCACAGTGGCTCTTTGCTGTTTGCTGTTTGTCATCATCTCTAAGCAATATAATACTTCATTTGGAACAACCTAAGTCTGTAAGGTTTCAATTTCTCCTCATAAGAGACATGGAAAAAAATACTTACATTTGATATGAAATGTTCCACTTGATCAAGTGTAAAATACTAAGGACAGCTTTGAATATAATCATCTGGATAAAAGAAACTATCATACATAATAACATAGAACTGTATTATTTCTGATCATTTGTCCTATTTAAAGGCCTGCTAAACATTCAACAATAATACAAGCATTTTATTTACTATATACAAGGTTTCTAAGCAATCCCTTGACTTCTCTGAAGGGAAACCTTGAAAGAGCTCATAAGCCACAGACTGTGTGCATTCACCTCAGCCATGGGAAATTACCAGGAAACCTATAGCTATTTGCTACCTG